GCCTCTGCCTCCCTTCCTCTCTCTGGCCCCTCTTTCCCTCCCCTCTCCCCCTTCTCTCCCTCCTCCTCATCTCCTCTCCCTCCTTCCTACCCTGTCTCCCCCCTCCATCCTCCCTCCCTCTCCCTCCCTTTCTTCCCATTCCTTTTTCCCCCCTCCCTCTCCATTCCTTCCTCTTCTCCCCCCCCACCAAGGGTGTTGTGAATAATCCTACTGATCTGTGCCATTGGATGGGTTACAGGCTGCCTCTTCTCCCTGTGGTTTGGTTCTTAAAAGCATTTTCTTTCTTCTCTTTGTTTACTGCACAGGTGATTCAGTCTCATGGTAAAAATATCAGAAAGGAGAAGGAAATCAGATGAGAGAAAACCGAGAGAGCAATTGCTCCCCATGATCTTACAACCCAGAAAGAACCACTTTTACCTTTTCGGTGTGCTGTTTTTCCAGGCTGTCTTCTCTCCTCTCACCCTCTCCTCCCCGCCTTCCTTTTATCTTACTGTTGTAGAATGGTTCATGTATGTGGCCTGGTGTTTCTTAACTTGCTTTTTTCCAGCGACTAAAACCAAACTCAAACCAACCCACTGAACTCCTTTCCATGATATTCAACAGGCTTATGAAACATCATCCTCAGTGCCTGCAGAATGCTCCTGTGTATCCGTGGACTTTAATGTTTCTGTAATCATTCCCGTTATCGTTGGACGTTCAGGTGGTGCCCAGTTCTTCCCCTGTGTTGAAAACCAGCACTGTGTGCTCTGATGAGTGAATCCTTCCTTGTCAAGCCAAATCGCTGCTAGCATCCTGGATTGTCTCCTTAACTGTGGACCTGCAGGATCCACAGAGGGACATTTCAAAGACTTATCCTGTGTGTTGCCAAATGGCCCCCTTCATAAGCATTGTTCCAGTTTGCACTCATGCCAGCCAGCACAGCTAGTAAAAAGACTGGCCATTTCCCCTGCATTGCCTCCTGGTCACTGTAATTGTGTGTGTGTGTGTGTGTGTGTGTGTGTGTGTGTGTGTGTGTGTGTGAGACCTGGCCAGCTTGATGTGTTGCTAAATGGTATTTCGCTATCCTTGGCTGTTTTACTGGTATTGAACACTGTTAATCACTCTCTCCCCAGTGCCCATTACCTGTCCCTTTCTCCATTGTCAGGAAAATATGTCATCTTCATTTCAGGAAAACAAAACACACACAAAATTCATAACGCAAACAAGTTAACAGAAGAAAATTAAAATCATCAGTTATCACACTTAATGGCTACCCATGATTTGTAGAACATGGTCATCTGCACTTGTCTAGTATTTTCAAGAGCTGCTTGAGACGTTTTGGCTTTTGGTCCAGTATTTTTATGCATATGTCATATATATATTAAAATGTACATACTGTTTTTGTATCTGCTCTTCATGCATAAATATGTGGGTATGTATTTATACATGTGTATTCTTGAAGTTTATTTCATGTCAATAAAGATACTTGAAAAGCATTTTGTCTGACTGCTAATATTCAGTTGGATCCTTGACTACTATATAGAAATAGATATACACATATATCCATGTCATTATCTTGGAGTGTGTTTCTATATGCTTTAAATCTTTTTTTATCTTTAATTGAGTTTATTGGTACATTTTAGGGATACAGTACAATTACATTCAGTGTTGGGATCTTGTACCTCTACATGACAGGTCTTGGTTCTCATTTTTTCCCCTTACCCCTGCCCTCCCTTCACCCCCTTCTCCCCTCCCCATCTACAAACACTTTATTTCCGTCTTTTCATTTTCTCACATTTTTTTCTTTTCCCTTATTACTCTTCCCCTACCCATCCTACCTTCCCTATATGCTTTAAATCTTTATTCATTAAATATCTAGGTTTTTTCTATATATACATTTTAAATACAAATCAATCCTTTCAAGAAGATCCATAGTGCAGACATCTTGTTGACCTTCAGAATTTTTTTCTTGAACATTTGCTTAAAGAATATTTAAAACACCAATGTAAGCTATTTCATACTTTTTCAGCAGAGGAAAAGTGCTTTTTTTTCTAGTACCTGTGATTAAACTCAGGATCTTCCCCTTGCAAGGCAGGAGTAGTGCCACTGAGCTAAATCCCTGGCCCAAAATGTGCATTATTAAATGGCTATCCATATAATCTACAAGTTTACCTTTATGATGTTTGCATTGTGTAAGGACTTGGATATTTAAGTGATTATCTGCCCTTCATATTACAGTAATCTATGCTCTTTTCCAATTTTTTCAAGGTATCATTTTGTGGTTTTATTTATTTCAACCATTCATTTATATATGTTGTACATAATTATCATAGAACATATTTTTAAAGATTTTAATGGTAGAAACAGCCAAAATCCTAATACCATTCCTAATATCTGTACTTGAGAACATAAATTTTAAATATCTACATATCTTTATTGTATAACACAATGTGCATTGTTTCATTGGCAAATATTTTCACAAAGGTGTTCATTAAATATTTTCTAGCAATTATGTTTGTTACATAGGATTCCTTCACTAGAATGAACTATCATTTCTACAAGCAAATCTTTTGGTTGTATATTTAAAATGGTTTTACCTTTTTTGGGGGGAAAGATAAATTCTATGATGAACGTCTTTGTACCTGAATGTGAAGGCATGTTTCTTGTGATTTTCTTCCTTTCCAGTGGAATTCCACTGCGATAGTTATGGACATGTCAAATCTTGTTTTTTTCTGATTTGCCCAATGTTTCTTTTTTAAAAGTCTGTATCTTCCAATAATGTGCAAAAGTCTACCTATCTGTACTCATCTTAAATTGGTCAGTTATTTTTTAAGTTTTAGAAAGTCAAAGTGGCTTATAGTTTTTTATTAAATATTTTAGAAATAATTTAAAGAAAGTTAACTAGCACATGAAAATATAGATAATAATGTTTTCACATATTCTATTATAGGTTTTTATTTCCATAATAATTTTGAGACAATTTTGTTATATACTGAATTTATTTTATCATAATTTGTTTTTAATATATTCTAAACATACCTAAAATACTTGTGGCCATTTAGATTTCTCCTGCAACTGTTTATCATTTTATCTGATAAGATATTTTTTAAGAACTTCCCCATTTTACATACCAAAGTAGCTCTTTAGATTTCCCCATTAGACCCAAATCTCGGGAGAACAGTTTTATAGTTGAATTGTTTCCCTTTTCTAGGTAAAAGAATTTAATATTCCTTTGCTTACACAAACTGTGAGTTAATAAATTTAATAATCAAGAGAAATGTCACAAATATTGATTTAAAAAAGAAAAGAAGATCATTTTAATGAAGCCACTTAGAATTAAAGCATAAACTCCATAAAGCTAATAAAAGAAATCTCTACTTCAGTAAAGGAAACTTCTGATTTATATGGTTCAATACTACTGTACAGACAAAGTATTTGACAAAGATTGAAATTTGAAGAAGATTGAAATATCAAGAAGCTTTTGCTTTAAGAATATATATATTTTTGGGGGGCAATGTCTCATTGTGTAGCTCAGGTTGGCCTTGAATTAATGATCTTTCTGCATCAATCTGCAGAATGGAAAGTATTATAGGTGTGCACCATATCCTCCATGATTTATTCTTGATTAATATTATCGTTCATAAAAATTATGTTTGAAAACATACATGCTGTTTTGTCTAGTCTTCTGTATAGGAGATTCAGAAACAATCCCCCATGTACAAGGGTCCATGTTCAGCCCAAGGAAAGGTCTGGACTCTGCTTTGATACAATCAGAATAAAGTCCCTTTCATTATTACTGAGAAAATGCAGAAGTGAGAAGGAGAGATCAAGTCAATTTGTCAGTTTCTTTGGTTCTGAAAGAACAGGTGTGAATTATATAGATCTTAGTACTTCTTTTCCTATCCATGAATGTGGTACATCTTTCCATTTATATAGGTCTTCTTTCAACTAGGTTTTGTAATTTTTATTTTGATTGATTGATTGCTTTTTACATTAAGTTTATTGGTACATTTAAAGTAATCCATACAGTTACATTTATCATTGGGATTTTGTATCCTTGCATGTCATGGTTCTTGTTTTCTCCCCTTATCCCTGACCTCCCTATACCCCCTTCACCCTTCCCTATTTACAAAGATATTGTTTCCATTTTTTCCTGTTTTCACATTTTTTTCTTTTCCTTCCCCCCACTTCCCACTTTCCCTTTAGCCACTTTCTTCCTATTTCACACACTCATTTATATCATTTGAACCTTATTTACATTTTTAGTTTTTCATACCAGAGAAAGTATTCTGTATTTACTGAAGTATTCTGTATTTACTATCAAAGTATTTTGTATTTACTATTCATTTCACTTCAGAATATTGCTTCAATGTGCACCCATTTAGCTATAAGTGTTTCTACTTTCTCATCCTTTATGGCTGAGTAGTACTCCATTTTATAGAAACACTCACATCTTCTTAATCCAGTATCCAGATGATGGGCATTTCGGTTGTTTCCAAATTTTAGCTATTACAAACTGCTCCACTATCAACATGGGTGTGCATATATCACTGTGTTATGATTCTTTTACTTCTTTTGAAAGATGCCAAGCAAAGGAATACTTGGGTGAAATGGAACCTCTAATCCTAGTTCTTTGAGCAACTCCATATTGATTTCCACAGTGGTTGCACCAGTCTGCACTCTCATCAACAATGGAGAAGTGTTT